AATCGTCTCTACGGAGTATAAAGTCTAAGGGCTGTCCCGTCTTTTCGATGAATTTCTTTCCTTTATAGCTTATTCTCCAGAGCTCCTATCTAATCTTCATAATTCTTTCCGGCCAACCAATGTTAGTATTGACTATACTTCTCGGCTTAGCCGCCCCATCTTTGACGGCTGCAGAAGCTGCTGCAAACTTCAACTTATCAGCCGCAACCCTTGATTCCTACGGGTGCGATGCTACATGTCAGGCAATTTTTGCCTATGCGCAGGCCGAGGACCGGACGCTGTTCGGGACTGATTTCGATTTCGACTTTTATGCCACTGCATCCAAATTCCCCCAATCCCAGCCCGGTGATCTGTTGAAGTTTGAAGCCATTGACCCAGATAACCTTGATGTTATCAGTGGAGTGTCTGCCTACCGCTTTCAATATACGTCTCAGGACCTAGACGGGTCCCCTGTCCCGGCTACCGGGTTCATCGCAATACCCTATACATCGTTCCGGAGGGACAGAAAGTACCCGGCCATTGCCTACGCCCATGGAACTCTCGGTGTCTTTGCTGGATGCCCACCCTCTACTACCCCAACCCTCTACGACTATACCAGCTGGAGCATGCTCATTGAAAGGGGCTACGCCATCATCGCGACGGACTATGCTGGTCTCGGAAACAACTACACGGAACATAAATACCTTAGTTTCCCTGTGCATGCCAACGATCTCTACTATAGCATGGTTGCCGCTCGGAAAGCCTTTCCTGGACTTTTTACAGATGAGTGGATGAGTGTTGGACATTCTCAAGGGGGTGGGGCCGTCTGGAAGCTTTCTGAGAGCAAACTGCTTCAAACTGGAGCTGCTGGAAAATACCTAGGCACTGTCGCATTAGCACCGGCCTCCAAAATCTATGATATGGCGCTTCTGGGCACAGAGTTACTATTGCAGACTTCCGATTATGCGTCGTATGATATCCTCTATGAATCACTCTGGCTCCCGTTTGCCATTGAGCGTGTATTCCCAAACATGAGCCGCGCGCCGTTTGCCGAAACACTCCAGAATCGAACAAAAATTGCCAGCCTAGCGCAAGCGTGTGATTATGGCATCATGTCACTCGCTTATGGTCTAAAACCCTCCGATCTCTTTACTCCAGCGATCAAGGACAATGCAGACTTCCAGAAGTGGCAAGATATGGTTGCTCCCGCCAATGGTGACAAGGCCGCGGAGCCCATGATGATTGTCCAAGGCCTGAATGACACGGCTGTCCTGCCACAGATTACGATTGGCTCTTTCAAGGATTCCTGCCTTTATGGGAATGAGGTCCACCTCAAGTTGTATCCTGGCTTGGATCATTCTGATGTGCTGACTGCGGGTTCCCCAGAATGGTTGGGCTTCCTTGATCATCGCTTCGCTGGTAGGAATACTACTGGAAACTGCAGCACCATTACGCACCGGCCTTTTGATGCCGTCCACATGGTGACCCATCCCGAAGCTGCAGAAATGACAAGCATGTAATGGCTAGGGAGCGGATACAGAGGCACCACCACAAATGTAGGTGACCGTATATATATCAGAACTGAACATAGCATGTTTCGCACATAATGCATGGGTACATTATCCATACCATACTTGTCACTCATTAGTAATTGTTACCCTCAAATGAAATATTCAATTTATGGTTCTCTCGTTGGCACTCTCTACGGAGTCTAGTAATTTCCATGCCTTTCCATCTTTTTATCCTCTATCTACTACCTCCAAAGCTTGACACGTCTAAGAATCAATACATCGCAAACCCCCCCCAGAAGCACTTATCGCTTGCCCCGAAACCCACCGACTTTCCTCAGAAGCAAGCCACGCCACAACCTGCGCGATATCGTCAATAGTTCCCACTCGATGCTCAACCGGCGTAACAGACTTCTGCATCTCCACCAATTCCTTCGGAATATTCTCCAGCAAAGCCGTCTGCACCGGCCCCGGGTTAACGGCATTCACCGTATGGCCAGCATCGCCCAACTCGGCAGCCCAGCACCGCGTCAAGCCCTCCAAGGCAGCCTTAGACGAGCAATAGAGCGACAGATTGGCGAATCCTGCCCGTGCACCGACCGAGCTAATATTGATGATCCGGCCGGGTGTGCGCAAATGTGGGATAATAGCCTGTGTCAGGAAGATAGCGCCATGGACATTCAGATTATAGACGAGGTTGTAGCCGTCCACCGTAAGATCGGACAGGGGCCTGACTACCTCCACGCCGGCATTGTTCACCAAGATATCGATGTGAGGGCCGAAGGCTTGTGTCGCGGCCTTAACTATGGTTTGTCCAGCGGATAGTTCGCGGAGATCGGCACGCACTTTGGCTGCCCCGGAGCCGTTGTTGAAGCCTTTGATTTGCTCGATCAATTGGTCAGCGGTGGATTCACTGCTCGCTGATGTGTACGTTATCAAGACCTAATGGAACTGTTAGATTCAGGGACGGTGGATTTTAGAGGGGTTCAGGGTATACTCACTTTGGCTCCCCGATGAGCCAATTCTTCAGCCAACCCCGCGCCGATTCCTCTTGTTGCACCTGTGACAATGGCGACTTTGCCGACTAGTGTTTGGGGTCTTGAGTTTGCGGCCATAGTGGGTTATTGAGTGACGAATGTATGTATGTATACCTTGATGCCTTATCGCGAGTCTCTGAGACTCTCATCTGAGTCTCCTGTGAAGGGGGGAGCATGTCGTTATTTATCATTTTTCCCCCAGTTCTACATTGCTAGCAGTCTACCAGTGGGAAATTATACATACGAAGAGCTTCCTGGATTGAACTGGTGCCCGTCCGAACTGAAGTCATGTTCCCCGAAGATTCTCGGAATGCTTCGCCTGAAAATCAGGGCACTGGTCGGACATTCCAGCCATGACATCATTTGGTGCCTGAGGAAGAGACACTAGTCAGTATTTCGTATCATAACTAGATTCTATAGGGAACCAATCGCACTATCATTGTACACAATCTCATTGTCCAGTAATCATAAAGAGCCCACTATCTCCCAGTCTCGGACCTTTCCCGAGGATATGGCACAAATCAAACGCTCAACCCCCGAAAGCCCAACCTCCGCAGTTCTTCTCCAGTACCCCGCGAGATAAACCAATGCAACCCTCCCCCGTTGATGACATATCAAGGTCCGATCTAGTTACTTGGTTCTATTCAGTTTCAGGGGGGGGATCCCAAAACCAACCCAAACACACAGAGTGCTGCAAGCAAACCCCCCAAAATGCCAACTGTAATCCTCGGTGGAGGGATAATCGGCGCTGCAACAGCCTATTACCTATCCGAGACCCGTCCAGGGGGGGGCATCCATGTCGTTGAATCCTCGTCGGAGCTATTTAGTTCTGCATCTGGGTATGCGGCCGGGTTCTTGGCCAAAGATTGGTTTGTGCCTTCTGTTGCTTCTTTGGGGGAGCTGTCGTTTGATCTACACGAGAGGCTGGCTATTGAGCATGGTGGAGTGGAGAAATGGGGGTACATGAAAGGGACAGCTTTGAGTTACGGTGCGATGATTAAGAGGGGAAGTGGTACTTGCAGTGACGATTGGATAGATAGAGGTGCCAGCCGAGCAGAGACTGCTTCTGGGTCGACTCTAACGACCAGACTGGGGGCTCCGGCCTGGTTGACAGTTCGGCCGGGCGTGAAGGTGGAGAGAATTAGTGACGTTGATACTGCCCAGGTGTCGGTACAATCCTTTGGTCAATATCCAAGTACTATGCTAATAATGATCCAGCGATCCATTGAAACTGTGTCGATTTCTGATGGATACGGCGACATCTCGCGGTGTCGAGCTTCATCATCCAGCACAGGCTACTTCTCTCGTCACGGACGAAAATGGGAGTATCACCGGCGTTAGAATTGTCAATCTCGCATCACGGGAGGAGTCCACAATTCCGTGTACTCATCTTGTTATCTGTGCGGGAGCTTGGACGTCGCGTATCTTCGGGGATCTTTTCCCTTCCGCTCGAGCTTCCATCCCCGTCTCGCCGTTGGCTGGGTACTCTCTCGTCCTCCGTTCTCCTAGGCATACTTTGGAACATGAGCAACACACATACGGTAACCGATGTCACGCTATTTTTACCTCAAATCCCTTCTCCTGCGGCTTCAGTCCAGAGATCTTCTCGCGACAGGGCAGCGAGATCTACATTGCCGGTCTGAATGATCCGGACATGCCGTTGCCGGGTCTAGCAGAGGAGACTCGACATTTGATAGATCGGGGTGGGATAAAGACACTAGGCAGAGTGGCCACTCAGTTAATGGGTAGGCTCGAGGGTGAATGTTCTGGGGCTATGGAGATATGCAGCACGGATGACCTAGAGGTTCTTCGTGAGGGATTGTGCTTCCGTCCTGTTTCCGATCGGGGAACGCCTGTGATATGCAGGGTAGACGATAATCTGCTAGGAGATAAAGTGAAGACAAGTAGTCACGGTGGTATTTTCGTGGCTTCTGGACATGGTCCTTGGGGGATCTCGTTGTCATTGGGGACTGGAAGGGTCGTGGCGGATATGGTGGAAGGGGTACGACCGAGGGCTGATGTGGGTGGGTTGGGACTGGAAATACAACTCTCCTAGCTGGCATGCTCGGTACCTTTTTTTTTTTTTTTTTTTTTTTTTTGCATGTGGTATGTATTCTTAGGTTGTTTCTACGTAAATATGGGGGTCTCTTGGACTATGGAGTTATTCTGAGTCGACGGAGTGAGTGCTCAACCCTACTAGACAACAGTATCCGTTATATATAACCGCCAGTCCTGTCCGTGATAAAGCCATCCAAAAGCAAAAAACCACAATAACAACACGATTGCAATAAAAATAAGGGTAGATCTTTTATACTACATCAATTTTCTCATATACATCTAAAACCCCACCAAATAGATGACATTGCGCATCATACATTAACATACATCCCAACCGACCGATTCCCAGATCAGAAAATCCAAAATTTAAAAACTGCTCCTTATAGACTGTTTATATAAAAGTATATAATATACAACAGCCCGGGTGGTCTAGTGGTATGATTCTCGCTTAGGGTAATAACCCCAAGTACAAATCCATATGTAAAAATACATATGGAGAATATCTGCGAGAGGTCCCGCGTTCGATCCGCGGCTCGGGCCGTTTATTTTTTTGCTACTCCTCTCTTCGTGGTGCTCCGTACTGGTCTTCCTATCGCTCCATCTTTACTAGATAAGATCCCGTCGCCGCACAGAGAGTACCTACATCATCGACTTTCTCATTCCCTCTGTATATGTATGTATGTGTTTAGCTGGCTAAACAGGTAGACAAGACACTGGCTACCTGAATTTTTGAACTGTAGAAGAATGCCGTAGACCACCAGAAACTCCCCTATATTGCTCTAGGTCAAACGTCGAGTCTAACGCCGCGGCGCAGGTGTCCGATATCAATGACTCAAGCTCGGAATCGCCGCCCGACAGCTTAACCACAGCGCATTCATTCCAGACACCCTGAACAACAAACAAACCAACAACCACCTCCCACCACTTCAATCCCTAAGACATCAACAAACAACAGAACACACCACAGCCAAAATGCCAACAACCCTCGCATTCATCGGCTGCGGTACGCCCTCCTCCACCATTACTAGTAAAACCCGACTAACCAAGACCACACAGGCAACATGGGCTCCGCAATCCTCGGCGGGCTGCTAGATGCCACCCGCTCGGAACCCAAAGCCGCCAAAGTCAACCGCTTCCTAGTGAGCACGAAGAGTGTGGCCTCGGCCACCAAGCTGCGCGAAGAATATCGGGCAGACGTATCGCGAGTGATCGTGGCGCACGGGGCCAACGTCCACGTCATGCAAGAGGCAGATATCGTCATGCTAGCGTGCAAGCCCTTCCTGGCGCAGGCAATTCTCTCCGAGCCGGGCGTGGCGGAGGCGCTGGCGGGCAAGTTCGTGATTAGCGTCATGGCGGGCAAGTCTCCGGCCGAGATCATGGGGTTCATCTATGGCGATTCCTCACTACCCCCCGTAGAGAGCCGACCAGTGATTGTAACCGCCATGCCGAATGTGGCGGCGCGACTGCGTCAGTCTATCACGATTGTCGAGGAGAATCCGGCGCTCTCGGCGGACCGGGCGGAGATCTTGAAGTGGATTTTTGAGCAGATCGGCACCGTGAAGTTTGTTGCGCCGGATCTGGTGAACGCCGGGTCGATGGTTTCGGGGGCGGCTATGGCGCTCATGACGGTTGCGGTTGATGGCATCATGGATGGCGCTGTGATGGAGGGCTTCCGACGCCCCGAGGCGATGGAGGTGTCGGCGCAGGTGTTGGAGGGACTGGCCGGGCTGTTGAGGGAAGGGGTTCATCCGGCGGTACTGAGGGAGAGTATCTCCTCACCGAAGGGATGTACGATCCAGGGTCTGTATGTCTTGGAGAAGAATGGGGTTCGGGGCGCGTATGCTGAGGCGTTGGTGAGAGGGATCAAGCACTTGAGGGGAGAGACGTAGATTGGTTCCGTTGGGGATTTGTATGTATGGATGTGACATGTGGGGGTATTACATGATTGATTTAGACATGAAAATCCAAATTTTTTAGAGGATTATGCAAAACTTCATGTGTCGGTGAGTGGTCTCTAGTTGGGAAAGTTAGTAGTATACGTGGACCACGAACGCAAGGAGAGATGCGCATCTCATCTCCGCGCGGAAACCCTAACCGAGCAACGATGCGGATGCCCCCTCCGAGCAGCCACCTGCTCAGAGCTTATTCGATCACTGAGTATCTTGCATCGCCCCATAACCCCAGATTAACGGTGATCCTCGCCCAGAGACCAATCGGTCGTCAAGCCGCCTATCAATGTTCCCCCCCCGGAGCGAAAGCGCAGATGGCAAGCATACATACCCCTCCTACGAGGGAGGAAAGTCGGTAAGATAAATAGTGCAGCACGAGATCATGCTTGACCCTGTCCGACACCAGCCACTCCATCACAATGAAATCGAAGGTATTCTGGCCTAGAAAGCCAGAAACGTTCTATGCCGCGTCCAAATCCGTGGTCGACGCTGCAGCGTCATCCCCGCCGCCCGCTCACAATGCCATCCTCCATTCATCGCCGGCGCAGAAAAAGGCGCCTCTTTCGAACTTGCCGACAAAGACCCTGCTTCGCTCTCTGTTCTTGACGACGGCGATGGCGTCGCCGCTTCTGAAACCCTCCATCGCAGCGTTGAAATACGTGGTGGATTCCAAGTCACCGCTGTTGAGCCCCTCGAAGAACCCTATCATGAACTATATTCTCCGTGCGACCATCTATGACCAGTTCTGTGCTGGCGTCAATGAGAAAGAAGTCCGCAAAACGGTCCAGGATATGAAGTCTCTCGGGTTCAAGGGCGTCATCCTGGGATATGGCCGGGAGTGCGTCGCAAAGATCGACGCAGCCGGCTCCCACGTGGAAGAGAGCAAGAATGCACAGGCCATTGAAGACCGTGCTGTGGATGAATGGAAAGAAGGTAATTTACAGACCCTCCGGATGGTCGATAAGGGAGACTACATGAATATCAAGTATGTGCAAATCAACATGGAACAAACATAGTATGGAGGGTAGTCTGACAGGAGTAGATTTACCGGCGCCGGCCCTGCAGCCGTTGAAGCTCTCGCCCGTGGCGACCTCGTCCCACCACCACGCATCAAGCAAGCTATTACGGAAATCTGCGAAGCCACTGCAGCCCAGGGTTCCCGGTTCTGGATCGACGCTGAGCAGCAGATCTTCCAACCCGCCATCGATGCCTGGACGATTGATCTGATGAGACAATTCAACCGCGACGGCAAGATCGTCGTGCTCAACACCGTCCAGGCATATTTGAAATCGTCCGCCGAAAACATCCATCGCCATCTCACACTCGCTGGAAAGGAGGGCTGGGCGCTGGGAATCAAGCTAGTCCGGGGTGCCTACATCCAACATGATCTCCGGGAGAGGATCCATGATACCAAGGCTGACACGGACCGGAATTACAACCACATCGTGGAGAGTCTGCTCTCGCGGAGATCCCCATTCAAAGACTTACAGGACACGAAGTTTCCGGATGCTAGGCTATTCGTCGCCTCACATAATGCGGAGAGCGTCCAGCGGGCATACTCAATTTCGAGACATCGAGTTCTCAATGGCTTACCCACGATACCCCTGGAGATGGGCCAGTTGCAGGGGATGGCGGATGAGGTGAGCTGCGGATTATTGGCTCAATATCAACCGGAGTCCAGTGAGCCATTAGGCCAAACCAGTCCTGTGGCGGCATCGGTGTTCCCCAAGGTTTTCAAGTGTCTGGCATGGGGGTCTACCGAGGAGTGCCTCCATTTCTTGTTGCGTCGGGCGGTTGAGAATCAGTCGGCCGTGGCGAGAACACAGGACACCGCAGCGGCGATGAGGAAGGAAGCCTGGCGACGGATAGGATTAAGGTGGTGAATGCCCTTCTCGCTGTGTGGGTACAGTAGTTTCTTTTTCTTATGATGATGCGCCCTTTGACTCTATTTCTCAATTACATAGACTATGCTGTAACGATCGACACGCCAATATTGATTAGCCCGATAAATTAGAAAATACCAGAGATATTATTTCAAGAAATTGTTGTATTGATTGTTTTAGCGAATCATCTTGAATATATGATAATAATAAAAGAGTATTATACGATAGGTACCCAGATCCCTGATTACCATGCATGCAACCTAGTTACTACTAGTAAATTCAATTCTTACTGCTGGTCTCACTGGGCCCACTGATCATCGCCAATAAGGCTGAGTGAGACTGCTCTGGCTCTGTCCCCAACGTACATTGGCATTCAAGGACCTGGATTCACCGCTGGTTGAGATTCACCTGGATCGTAGTCTATATTCCTTGTGTATGCCATTTTAGGGGATAGTATTATCGAAGAGAAGGATCACAAAGAGATCCCTTTTGACTTCACTTCTCATTCAAAACAATCCTTCCAAAATATCAGGGCCTTTTGCATCTAGATTTGGGGACTTTCTCAGATGACGCAAGTCCTCCCAGAAATTCCTTTTTTTTTTTTTTTTTTTTCGTATCAGCATATGCATCGCCATGCATATTAAAACGCTCCTGAAGTAGTTTTTTCTACCTGGAATCCTCCCCGGTCTATCCCCAAGAGGCTGAGATATATTCATTCCAGACGGGATGATAGGTCCATGAGGATCTCTGTCGGGGAAAAGCAAGCTAGGGTAGCAAGGACTTTGATAGACACTCTCTATGATTATAAGGTGGTGTAGTGTTTTCGCTTCGTTTTTGGAGCCCTCGTCAGCGTCGTTTTTTCATAATCACAACGGACCCAATCGACCACCCGGTCTGCCGCATAAAATAGTTTGACATGGCTTATATAAAAACATTGGTCTTGCTGCTCGGCCGTCCAGCCCCATGCAGCATAAAATTTTGATGATTCGTCAGTAATAATGAAGGACGTGATTGAAGAAGAGGCTGAGAGTGAATGGGACTTGATGGTTATTATTAGGGTCAACAGTCACTGCCTCTCCCGCTTGCAACTGTCTAATCAGGAACAAGACAATCTATGTGCATTGTGTGTATTACGTGTATTTTGGGCCTTATGGCGATCAAATGGTATGACGAATTATTGACGATGGAATGAGGGCAAGGGGAGGTGCAAAACCAGACCGGGATCAGTAATTTATGCAGACTCATACTGTACTTCTACTATAGCTGCATACTTATTTTCTCTGGGATGTATGTTTCAAAAACAGTAATTAGAAAATACATTAGTGGCAGAACCCAGATATTTAATGAAGCCTAAGTTGTGTTTGTTATGAAGTAGGCAACGGACCTTGACAAATCCACAACTATCAAAGTATTGGCCCGCGCTTCGATTTCAGAAACTTCATAACCTCCACATAATGCTCATCATCTTCGTCCAGCACCGCTTCCTGCTCACAAGCGCCAAGAATCTCGAGCACATATTCCTGACAATCCCATTCCAGCGTCTCGTTGTCAACACGCGCGGCCCCCACCGCCGCTTTAACGGTGGGCACGTCGGGATCCCCGATCTCGCCGACCAGCAGTGACATGATTAAGGAGTCGGAGTCGGAGGGCTTGCCGCGAGAGGTCATCTTTTGAAAGGAAGGGTGTTCGCCGTCGACTTCGAAGATAA